CACTCTTTCAGCGCTTAGGGAGCTAGAGTGAGACATCCGAAGTTAAGCAGAGCAAATATTCCTCATACTCTTACACAGGATACATACGCAGCTCTGGACAAGGCTGTTCCTCACTTCCATACACTGCATTTAACAGGGGACCCGGTGCAATCGCATCCTAAGGCTCCAATCAATCGCATGTTTCCACTCTGCATTTTGCAGCCGGCTCCGTCCGGCCCCGTGGATGGAAAACACCCTGCGGTTTCCCCGTTCGCCTTCCCCTGTGGTTACAAATTACAGCTTGTTCAATGAAGAGGTCAAACATGGCTGACTTGCAGCTTTCCTCTGCGAAGCAGAGCAAAATATTGTGTTTTACAGTTTAAAAATAGCTGGCCTCTTGCTCCATGTGCATTACAAAGAGCCCACAGCTCATGCTCAACTGAAAAAGTCCCCCTGCCTTCAACTTGCCTTGCAGTTTCCTCCCCGTTTTGCCAAATCCCATCTAAAATAAGCTGAAAGCTGCTCTGCTTTCTGGCCAAAAATGGGGTAACCATCTCCCTTTAGGACCAATGCTCTGAACCCATACGGTGGCTCCTCCACTGATCGTTTTACTTGCAAATACTTCCCCTACACCTAAACAGTACAGTTTGGGGTAACAAGACCTACAAATTTTCCACAGGCTGAAGAGGAAAAGGATTTGGGAGGATGAGGGGAGTCTGCCATACACAGCACAGATCACCTGCTTGTAAAAGCCCGCTAATTTCTTAGGAGTACCTCAAACGCCTTCCCTGCCACGTCCACCGTGTCCTATTTGAGAGGAGCAAACACTGTGCAAGCAACGTTACCCCACCGCACTGCTGTGCTCCCACCAGCACCCAGCTCCTCGCACCACCTCTGCGCTCGCTTCTTCGGAAGCCAGTTTTATATTTGCAGAGGTGTCTCACCCCAGGAAGCCTCTCAGAAATAAGCAGTTCTCCGGTATCCTCACGCCCACGACAGAAGCTGCGTCCTCTCGTCCATGCTGGGTACATTTAAGCAGTACAGCTGTTACAATAAACAAGCTCAGGCTATTTATTCTTTTTTGTTTCACTTTTTAAACAAATCAAGGCAAGCCCCCAACAGCGTTGTGTTTTACTGCCATTACATGTGTTTTTCAGAAAGGCTTTCGGTAACGCAGCGCATAAGTTATCGATCTGCCCTCCAAAAACAGCGAGGCGTATTCGACGAGAACCATCGGAAACGGATTATGAACTGCCTCGAGGAAAGGAAAAATTTCACTCTGGGCAGAGGTACCAAATGAGGTAAAGCTCGGATCGATAGCCCAACGTAAAACCAGCAGTGGCTGCTCTCTGCAGTAACCCTGCCAGCCCGTTCTAGGCAAGAAGTAAATGTGTAAGCAGAAACTTACTTTTTATCATCAGAAGCAGCTTTTAGCAGATCGAATTGCTCCCGGCAATCCTCGGACCAAGCAGAGCTGTTTGGCTGCTTTTGGAAGGGGGAGTGCACCCAGTGCCGAGAGCCCACCCACGCGATCTCCTGCATTCACCCAAGCCTTTGCCTCTTCCCTTCCCGATCTCTCGGCTCCCCACAGCTGGGACACCCAACTGTCCCTACAGGCAAGACCAGGACCGATCCTGCCCACTCGCACCTCGCCGTTCGCAGGTCAGGCCCCTCCTTAGCGCCACAGGCTTGAACCAGCCTCTGTCCTCGACTGCCCTTTCCCATCTGAACTCGTTACCATTTCACGCCTCCCAAAAGCTCCCTACCACCATCCTCTGTTCTCGCCTTGCCCGCATTTTTGTTCAACAACCCCGGGAGACCGGGGTCTGCCGTTCCACAAGGCCCTTCTCCAGCCCTGTTTCCAGCCTGATCTGCAGTACCGTCTTGTCCCTACTAAAGACAACCAGCTGCCCCTCAAAAACCAGAGGAGTAAGACCCAGAGGACAATCAGCTTCTAGTTCAGGACCTTCAGCCTGTCCTACAACTCACGGGGCTCAGGAGGCATCTCTGGGTTGGTTTGCACGAACTCTGATGACAAGCAGAGGCCCAGGGAACAGACACAGCGATGCAGCGTCGAACCCTGCAGCAGAGGTTACATTAGAGACCCGGAGCAGGCAAAGGCCTGACAGAAGTCTTTGAGGAAGCGCAGCGGCTAAAGCACAAGCCCATCCATCCGCTCCGCGCCAGAGATGGCCAGCGGGTTTTTTTTGTGAAGAGGCTGACCTGCGAAGCAAAAGGCCAGTCCCTCAAGAAAACAACCTACGAGCATCCCAAAACGCATCAGGGCTGGCATCCCTCGCTGCAGAAGACAGCCCGGTGGAAAGCATCCACTCCCCAGATCACTAAATTATCAACGCATATCACAGGACCGCAGCTAATGCCATCAGTAAGGTAATAACGAGTCTTAGAAACCAAAGCCTGACAGCGATTTCCCAAAGCAAACTCCTCCAGAAAGCTGCGCAGAAACACCGTATGGCACCGCCGAACCACAAACACCCCTCGGGGACGGCTTGCTTGCAATTAGCAACCCGCCAGGGTAACGGACACGGATCTCTGTTTCAATTCGAGTGTTAATCATTGCTCTACAGCCACAAGAATCCTCAAAAAAAAAAAAAAAATGGAAAAAGTCCAAAGGAGCAGAGCCACTCCAAGGAAATAAATGCAAAGCCAGCTTTTGGGACATTTTTGTCATTCGCCTGCCACCTCGTGGGGAAGATGAGAGAAGAATAAAGTTTGCGCCACAGCGATGCTCCGGAAGGCTCGTTAGTCATTTGAACCCTTGCGCGCCAGCATTTTCAACACAAAACGATGGCTTTACGTGCCCAGAGGAACCAGATTTTCAGGCAGTGCTTACGCACGCCCATCTTTGAGAAGTCTCTCCATCAGACGTGCTCCCTGAAACCCGCAGGCTGGCCAAAACCGAACAGAGACTCAAACCTGCCATCGATGGCCCAAAATTCCCCTATTTGCCTTCCCAGATAAAGCGTGCATCACAACGGAACTGTTCAAGCTGTGCTATCACCCCCAATTTCACCGTAAGCCCAGGATAACGCACAGCACAAAAGGAGGAGTTAAGGACAAGGGTGTGCTATTGGCAGCACTCAAAGCACAACAGAAGGGTAGGGAGACTGAAGAAAATCAAGAACTAAAGCCAGCAAAATATATTTGCCCTTACTGGAAGCGATTCCAGGGCCTGAGAAGAAAGCAAATCATCTGAAGTGAACTCATTTGTTTTAAACAAAATGACTATGCTAAAATAAGCACACAGGACAAGTTTTGAATCACCATCACAAACATACCACTGTCCTTCAAAGCTGTTTTAAAAACCGTGGATTTTGTCTAAACCAAAGCCAATGGTAAATTCACTGACTGGAGTGGGAACACAGCTCGACACGCAGTTACCGGAGTCGCTGTCAAATAATCTAGAGTTGGAGAACAAACAGCACCATCAATTCTGTTCTTCAAACAGCCTCTGGAAGGTGCTTAGCGCAACAAGGGAGCCACGTGAAGGGAGAAACCGCCCGATTCACTGAATAAAGGCAGTAAAAGCAGACAAGAACCTCTACGTCAACTACAAACCAGTTCTGATATTCCATTAACGCTTCTGCCAACCGCCCAAACAAGCCACCACGCACGCGGGTCTAGCAGAACTCCC